TGGATGTAGCTCGCTCACACCGAGGACCTGTCCACGTCATCATTTACCCAGAATGCTTTGTGTGTAAATAAAATGGCTCCATCCGTGTTAAAATATATTTTTAAAAATTTACAAAACTAAACAGCCTATAATATTTTTAGTCTTTATTTTACAGTTAAAATATATGTTTATCAAATAAAGTCTAATGTTACAACTAATCAGGGATCCCTTTAAGATGATAGGACTTTTAACTGGTGGTTATGTTTGGCATTTCGGGTTTTTAATAAGTGTTTTTGGTGTTTTAGGTCTTGAAACAGAGCAAATGAGATGTCTTGTCAGCAGCAGAAAGGTATACCAGAGGGATGGATGGATTATTGTCCTGTTGGACAGAGAATACCAGGAACAAGGTTCATCGCCTTCAAAGTGCCCTTAAAACCATCTCTGAACTCTCAGGTCCCTGAGTCCCACTCCTTCGGTTTGTGGGAGCTGCTGGATTTTGTGAAGAGTCAGAAACAGGAGCTTGGGCTCATCATTGATCTCACCTTCACCACCAGGTACTACCAAGTGTCCGATGTCCCCCAGTCCTGCTCTTACGTCAAGATTTTCGTTGAGGGCCACAGAATCCCCTCGGACATCGCCATCCTGAGCTTCAAGCGAGCGGTGAGGCGATTCCTGAAGGAGAACGAGGACAACGACAGTTTGATCGGAGTCCACTGCACCCATGGCCTGAACCGCACCGGGTACCTGGTCTGCAGGTACCTGATTGACGTCGACGGGCTCGACCCGTCAGCAGCTCTGGAGCTCTTCAACTCTTGCAGAGGCCATCGCATCGAGAGGCGGAACTACCTGAACGACCTGCAGGGTGCCGCCAAGAGAAGCAACGACGGCATCGACGAGCCGGATGAAAATGTTGTCAGAGGGCTCGCTGTGCAGAGGACAGGATAGCCTTTATTCACCTCCTCGTCTGGACGAGTCAAACTGTTTCTGTAGTAAAGCAGCAGGCAGATTCTCTGATCTGCGGTTTCAGGTTTTTCGGCTTTATTTTTTGATTTGTGGCGTCAGAAACAGGAAACTGAGTTGTGACTATCGTTAAAAGCTGATTAATCGGAACAAGCTGAGAAGCAAATCTATTACTTAAAGATAGAAATCATGAATTGTCACATATTTACTTTACATGGAAATCAGAGTTCAAACTTCGATGATGAATCACATTTAGATTTAAAGACTGTTGATGTCAATGAACTGAAGCTGGTGGGCATTTAAATGTAATAAGATTCACAAGTAAAAATAAAGTTTCTTACAATCTTAGTTCTACTGCAGTTTTCACTCATTTACAGGCCAGCGGTCACTCTTTCAGAGATGAGGATGTTCTCGTTCTTGATAGAGAGGAACGTTGGTTTGAGAGAGGAGTAAAATAAGCCATTTTTGTGAAGAAAGACCGTTCATTAAACAGAGGTGGAGGCCTCCGTTTTCAGTTGTCCCCCTCCTACAGCGCTGCCATTGCCAGTATCACTCTACCCCCTGTTAACAATAAGTGTTAATTAGGTGTCAACGATAGCCATGTGATGTATCAGTCACATGGAGGCAGGGCTTAAAAGCCTGAAACTCTCAGACTGAAGAAGTCTCTTGGAGGAGACGAAACGTTTCATTAGAGAAGAACCCGTCCAGAAGACCTACACAATTTTTTTCTTTTTGATTTTTTACCTGGATTACTGAGATGCATCAGGACTTCTACTCGTTTTTGAAAAGATGGTTTTGATTATATTATTAAATAAAGCACTGTAGTTTACTGCTTTTGAAAATTTTTGCTTATTTTCAGGGTTTTGCTTTGATAGTAAAACTTTCAGACACTACCTGATGCTGACTTGAAGAAAACTATTTTAATATAGAACTCTGTTTCTTCACATATAAAAATAAAAACTTCTTACAATAGGTAATTTAACCAAATTTATAACTGATACAGAAATTAACAAGGAACAAAAATAAATGCTGCCAACATCTCTCATTAGTAYAAACACTGACATTTCACCGATCCACTCCTTGGTGTCTGCTGCCATAAAAAAAGTTTTCATTTTATAGTTCTGCTTTTTTGAATGAGATTCAAATAAATGAAGTCTAGTTGTCACCAGCATCTAATTATGGAAATAAAATACTGGCAAGACATGAAACACAGATGTTTGCAAACTTASAGGGAAAAAAAGTGTTCAAACAGTTTTAAATTTGTCATAGTATCCAATATAAAAATAAGTGAATGAACTTTATTTTCAACTTTTGAAACATGTCCTAAAAACTTCCATCAAAAGCTCCCTTCAGGTTTTCCTCTTCCTCTTTTTCTTTTCTGCTGGATCGTCCTTGCCGGCTTTGTTCTTTTTTGGCCGACCTCTGAGCTTCCTCCCTGGAGACTTGTTGGAGTCGTCTGATTTCTCCGTCGTCTTGTTCTGGTGGACCTCGGAGAGCTGCTGAAGCCGCGCCTCTCTGCTCCGGGTCCTGACCTGGATTTGTTTCTTCCTGGTCCTGCAGTGCGTCTGGAAGTGACTCTTCAGATCGTCTGCGGCCTCGAACCGCTCCCCGCACAGGCCGCAGACCTTCTTGGTGTCTCGGATGTGAGCTCGGACGTGTCTGAACAAAACCAGGCGAGTCGTGTAGGTACGGCTGCAGGACAGGCAGCTGAACCCGTCTTTGGGTCTTGAACGCCCCTCTGGGTTTTCCGAAGCGGGTCTGGCAGAGTCTTTGCTGTAGTCATCGCTGTCTTCAGTCTCACTGGACAACTCTATGGAGCCATTCTGACTTTGAGACAACGATCCCGGTTCAGCTGATGCTTCAACGTTGTGATGAGGGWTTTTTGAGTTTTTGGAGTTGTAGGTGAACTCAATGATCTCAACCTCGTCCAGGTCGTGCTCTCCCTGTTTCTGCTGGACATGTGAAGGCTCAGAAACCTGGCTCCGGTTCTGGTGGTTAGATGGGACATCTTTACCGAATAGCTGCTGCTGTGTGAAGACGCCTGTTGAGAAATACAAACAAAACAAGAATCACGTWGAGTTCTGCTCACAAACCCAGGCTAACTCAAGAAGAAAATCTTTTACTTAAGATTTCATCATTTCTGTTGCTTTTTAAGCCATTTTTTGACATCAAAACGCCTGCTTGAAGTGGATTTGAACCCACCTCCATCCTTTTCCGTCATTACGGGGTTGTTCAACGCGCAGAGCAGCGCGTGCTGGCGGGAGATCACTTCCCGATTCAGAGCCGCTTCTTCTTCGTATTTCACGATAGTTTTTTCAAAGGCCTCCAGGATCTGTTCGAGCGCCTCGTTCAGACGCTGACTGGCGAACAGCCGAAGCTTCTGGACGTGAGACATGTCAACACCGAGGGCGGAAATTCAAATACGCTCGGTGCTGCTGCCACAGCTGCTAAATGCTAACAAAAGACAACTTCCGGTTTAAACCACTTCTTCTTCTACGCTCATTGTAGTTACATTACTGCCCCCTGCTGGTTTTATTAGCGTACTGCAGCTACAACTATTTTTTCCTCTTGTTTTTTTTAATTGTTCCGCTTCAGCTGTTTAATTATCTTTTGCTTCTTTTCAACTTGGACGACTTTAATCTATAAAAATCTAGATCTTCTGAGACTGTATATATGAACAAACTAGATTCTGTTTATAAAGTTTATTTAAATAAAACTGAAACAATGTATAAAAACTGGCCAATAATGAGCCTATAAACAACAGGCAACTGTAAAAGCACTGAAATGAAACAGAGATAAGATTGAAGACGATTTTTTAAAAAKCACTTCTATTTTTCAGCTTCAGCCGTTTCTTCATCTCTTTCACCAGGTTCGACCCTAATCTCTGCTTCCTTTTCTTCGGCGACGTCGTTTTCCTGAAAAATGAGAACCAAATTGATGAGAAAACTGTAGAAGATCTGGTCAGATCAGTGCATATGAGTCGCCATCTCCTCACCTGTGGTGCCTCTTCTCTCATGTCTTCTCCTGAGCTCTGCCTCCACCAGGCTGTAGAAGTCGCTCTCGACTCCGGCAACCAGTTGCTCGGCGTTTTCCTCGCCCTTTAATATTCTATGTTTATGTCACAGAACTAACATTCAGTAATAAAAAAAAGGTCAGACGATTGTTTGTTCTTAATACTGAATCAAATCTCAGATCAGCAAATGTTTCGGTGTTCCTTACGGCAGCCACCAGACTCTTCTTGTTCTTCTGCAGATCTCCAGCAGCGTGGCTTCGCCAGACTGAGAGCCGCACGCCACCAGACGCCCGTTATCTTGAACACGAAGGCTGTACAGAGGCGTGTCACNTCTCCTGAGCTCTGCCTCCACCAGGCTGTAGAAGTCGCTCTCGACTCTGGCAATCAGTTGCTCTGCGTTTTCCTCGCCCTTAAATATTCTATGTTTATGTCACAGAACTAACATTCAGTAATAAATAAAAGGTCAGAAGATTGTTTGTTCTTAATACTGAATCAAACCTCAGATCAGCAAATGTTTCGGTGTTCCTTACGACAGCCACCAGACTCTTCTCGTTCTTCTGCAGAGTCGACAGTCCAGAGCAGATCTCCAGCAGCGTGGCTTCGCCAGACTGAGAGCCGCACGCCACCAGACGCCCGTTATCTTGAACACGAAKGCTGTACAGAGGCGTGTCACACACCTGAGGACAACAACACAGAAACGTCAACAACAACAGAGGAATCTGGTTCAAACTGWTTTTTGTATTTCAAACAGGAGCACCTTCAGACTAAGCGWGGGGTCATGCTGTTCAGAYAGGATGTCCCAGACATCCAGCGTGCCGTCCTTCACAGTGAAGATGGAGGGCCTGACGGGACTCCAGCAGGCGTCCGCCATGAGGGACGTCTGACACCTGGAGAGCAGATTTAATGTTTCATATAAATAAGAAAAGATGAGGTGACTACGTAAGAGTCTGAATCCTACTTGCTGCACATGATCGATGATTCCTTGATGTCCTCAGACCAGATGCGAGCCGTCCAGTCGGCCACGGTGAGGAAGGTTTTGGGGAAGAATGGATTCCTCTGCAGGGCGTAGACTGGATCTTGGATGGACTCTTTGCCTTCCGGTTACAGGAGACGACCAGGCCCTGCTCCGTCACCACCATGAACTTAGTTGGCTAAAAAAAAGATCAAATACAAACAGACAATTAGGCTGAAATCACAAAGTCTTTGACTGGGAGAATAAATATTTGAGACAACATTTAATTTGAGTCGGACTCATTATGAGAAAACATCCCTTATAGTTTTATCATTGACATTAAAGTGTCTGTGACAACAATTTTTCATAACAACATATGAATGTATTTTTGGAAAGATAACATTGATAACATATTGTAAGAAAGATTTCATGCCGCTGAGATGAACAGCTGTTGAGATATTTGCATGTGAAGAAACAGGAAGTGATGTCAAAGGGGAATGTCTGAATGTAAACAGAGCGTTGCTAAAAAGGCTAACAACATCGAGTGTTGAAAGAAGAATCTGATGTTTCTTTATATTATTTTAACTACTATCATAGAGAGAGTGAGAGTTGAACTAATATTGTTTCAATAAACAAAAAACTGTTTTCGTTCCCTTTGATGTCACTTCCTGTTTCAATTTAGCTGAGCAAAGTTCAACGGAAAATATGCCAATTATGTGTCATAATGGTTCAAATCATGTGTATTATGTCAAGTTTCTTAAATATAAATATATTTTCTTTGACTTTTTGTATTTCGTGGTGTCACAGGCACTTTAAAACATCAGCTAAATTTATACATTTATACTACGAAGACAGAAAACAGAAACAGACGACAAACTCGGGAGCATTTTATTCGCTCACCATAGTGGCCTCAGATTCCAGAGAGATGGCACCCAAAGCCTGGTCTAGACTCCCCTCTCGGCTCGGATCCAGAACCAGACGATCCGTGGGCTCGCTCAGCTTATGGAC